AAATGGGGGGCGGGTTGCTTTCGAAATGCGGCTCTCGCCCCAGCGCCGCGCACATTCGCGTTAACAACTTACAAGATATTCGCGGATTGAGCGCGGGCCGTTCTCAAAATGTGGTTCTCGCTTCAGCGCCGCGCACATTCGTTTTAAACAATCGCAGAGGTTTCACGTATTGGGGGCGGGCCGTTTTCAAAACGTGGTTTTCGCTTTAGCACCGCTTACATTCGTTTTAAACATGTGCAAGAGGTCCACGGATTGAGGGCGGTTCTTTTTTCAAAATGTGGTTATCCTTAACGCCGCGCACATCCGCGTACAAAACTTGCAAGAGCTTCACGGATTGAGGGCGGGTGGTTTTCAACATGTGGTTCGAATCTCGCTTTAGCGCCGCGCATATTCGTCGTAAACATTTGCAAGAGTTTCACGTATCAGGGATGGGTCGTTCCCAAAATGAAGCTCTCGCTGTCGCGCCGCGCACACTCGTTTTAAACATGTGCACAAGTTTCGCGGATTCCCATGAGCGGCGTACCAGAAATCTTGTTTTGGAAGGAATCCAGATTATGTGGGTGCAACAGTTATGTTGATTCTCGGTGGTGAAGTCCCAAGCATGGCGTTATGACACGATTCCAGATCGTCAGGACGCAGCAGTCAGGTTGATACGTGGCGTGGAAATCCCGAGAACAATGTCTTGGCATGCTTCGAGGTTTGCAAACGGCTGTCTTCCAACGAGGCAGTTCCCTCAATGGAAATGAACCGTTGCAGGCGCCTGTAAAAAGGGAGCGTGGAGGGAGGGCTAGTTCCAACATCGTTGATGCCTCTTGGGTTTACACTGGTCCTCCTCTTCCTCCTCCTCCTCCTCCTGTTCCTGCTTCTCCTCCTCCTCCTCCTCCTCCTCTCCCCCCCCTTCTCTCCTCCTCTCCCCCCCCTCCCCCTCTCCCTCCCACTCCTCCTCCTCTCCTCCTCCTCCTCCTCATCCTCGTCCTCCTCCTCATCTTCCTCCTCCTCCTCCTCCCTCCTCCTCCTCCTCCTCCTCCTCCTCCTGCCGAAGAGGGCGGGGGGCGGGCGGCAGCGGCGGCCTGCAGGGCGGCCCAGGGCCCCCGCTGCAGGCCCAGGTCGAGGCTCAAGGGGCGAGGGTCCATGATGCCAGCGGGAGTCAGCCCGACTGCGCCGGATCTTGTTGTAGGATCCTGCGGGGCCAGGGGTGCACTGACCCGGGCTCGGGCGCAGGATCCGGCAGGATCCTGCCAAAAGCCCGGCTGGCCCAGGTTTGCACTGGCCCAGGTCAGTAAGTCCCCGGCCAGGGGCCCTTGGACTCAGGAGGGGGAAAAACACACAGACACAATCAATCGTCGATTCCCTGGAGGATAACAGAAAACATGGGAAGTGGGGGGGAAGACGAAAACCCAGAAAACATGCGAAAATATAGGGAATGCTGTGATTGGTGCGTATTTGTTTGTGGGCCCGAGGGCTCGCGCCGGGTCAGCCGTGCCAGTGCGGCGCTCCGTGCCCCCGCGGGTGCACCCTTCCGCTGCGGGTCTTTCAGAGGGCCTCTCGGCCCCTGCGCACCCCTGCGGTAAGAGGGCCGAGGGCCTGCGGCCCCTTCCCTGGGCGGCGCAGGGAGAGGGAGAGGGCACGCATTTCAGAGGCGACGACCCGTGCGAATAGCCCAGGGGCGAATAGCCCAGGGGCGCCGATGATCAATGTCTTCGACGAGGCTCCCGGGAGCATACGTGTAATGCCCGCCCCTGGGCCATTCGCCCTTATCGTCGCCGCCGAATATTGGCGGCGAGCGAGGGGGGCAAACGAGAAGGAGAAGGTCATCCCTCAGAGGAGGAAAAGGTACCCATACCTCTACCCTTCGCTCGTTTTCCCTTTTTGGGGGGCTCCTGGGCGGCCCTCGTCGCCACCGCTGGATTCGCTTCGAAATCCTGGTCAGCCCGCATCCCGGGAGAGGTCCGGGGAGTAGAGGTATCGGTACCTTTTGGCTTCCCATAAGAAGCTCTCGCGTTTTCTGAGAGGTTTTCTGTGTCCTCCACAGGGACCTAGAAAACTTCTCACAAGGCCGGGGGGCTTTGGAGCCTTTTGAGAAGGCCTGGCCCCTCTCATTTCCCCCCTTCGCTTCCCGCCGAATAGAGAGTGAGTGGAGCGGGGACGTGCCAGGGGGCAGGATAGGGGCAGAGAGCGGGGGAATGCAGTGGACGACGCGGAGGGAATCGAGAGCAGGAAAGGGGAAGGGGGGGAGCGGAGTTCAAGGTGTGAGACACCTGCCAGTGGCCTGTGCCCACGCTCATCACTAGCTGCCAGACGCCTAGCACCTCGGCACTCTCGACGATTAGGCGCGGCCTGTCTTTCAGTTCCACTGTGGTATCTCGCCCCCCTCAGCACCACCGCTGACGGGAGGCCCAAAGAGGGGAAGGGTGTGCGCGGTTCGGTCGGTTCGGCTGCGTCGCAGTCGAGTCGGTTCGGTTGGTCGGTTGTTGTTCGAGGGAAGATGCACCAGGACCAGGACCAAGATCAAGAAGTCGCGGGATCTTGTCGATGCCGATCTTGGCCATGGTCCATGCCGGCCGTCGCCGATCCGCATGAATGTTCAACGCGTTGGCGTTGACTAGGGTAGACGCTGGCCAAGATCAACACCGACGCTCCGCGCTCAATCTTCGTCATCATCCTCGGTTGTTCCCCCTCCAAGCGTGTCGTCGCGGAGTCGCTGCGCCCTTGCGGCTTGCCTGCGGCCTGTCCGTTCACATCGGTTTCGGTTCCTTTTTTTGGCTCGGCCGGTGTTCGGCTGTGGTGACGCCATCAGGGCTGGACCTGGACGGTATTTTGGTCACCTCGCGGGCCGTTCTGTCGTTCGTCTTGTTTTGCCTTCGGGGCGAAGCCAAGGCAAGACGAGGAAGAACGAGAGACAAAACGACGACGAGAGGCACCGTTTGGGTTCAGCCCTGGACGCCATGGGACGGCCCTGGGCGGGGTCGCTCGAGACCGCAGCGCGAGCGGGCCGAGCCGTGGGAGGCCGCGGCCGAGGCGTGGAGAAGAGCGGCCAGGGCTTGAGGGAGAAGCTGTCGGGCGGCAGCCGCCCTGGAGGCGAAGGGGGGTCCGAGGGAAGCTTCCTCGGCGAGGCCCATCGAGGGTCATTTTGGAAAAGAGCAAGAAAAAACATGAAAAAAAAACACAACGACAACCAAATAACGCACGAGTCCTGAGGGAATTTTGACGTCGCTCGGACGTGTGCATGTCTTTCCTCGGCGAGGATCATCGAGGGCCATCCTGCAGGAGAGAAGCGCGAGACCGAGAGTGCACGGGGCTTGGACGTCCGAGCGACGGCGAGGAAGCGGGTCCTGGGTCCCGGTTTTCTCGTCGGGGCCAGGTTTGGGTCTGCATCCCCGGTCGTTGTGTTGACGGTCCTGGAGCCCGCGGGAGGGCCCAGGAGCCCGAACATGTCCAGGACTTTCTCCCTCTGGGACCGGTTTCTCTCACGCCAATTGGGCGTCGCGTAAGGGGGGGGGGAGGGGGGGGGGGGGGGGGGGGGGCGATACTCGGGGAGGCAGCGAGGGCTGCAGAAAAGGGGCCTTTCAGGGCCCCTGGAGGAGCCCTTGAGCCTTCAGGGGCCGAGAAGTGCAACTCAGCTCCCCCCCCCCGTATAGAGAGACCCTCCCTTAAGCGACGCCCAAGCCAAGAAGTGTTGTAGGAGTGTCCCAGGGCGACCTTTCGGGCCGTCCTGGATCGTCTTGGGAGCCACCGTGGGGGGGGGGGGGGGCATCTCGTGCGCGTTGGGGGCTCGGGGCGCCCACGGAGCCTCGGGGGGATGCGTGCGAGTGGATGCAGGTACAGTGGAAGCCCATGCCAAGAAACACCCTGCTTGCCTCCAGGGTGCCCTGGGTTTCTTGGGCGTCGATGGTTTAGCCATGGAAAGCGCGACGTTCCCACACCAAAAGTCAATGGACGTCCTGGGGTCTCAGGTTGGGTTTCTTGTGGAAGGTTTCTTGTGGATCGGCCCCCACTGTAGCCGCCCGCCACCCAGATGGCTCCACTGAGGGCTCTCCTGTGGGCGGCATATTTCGGTCACGCGCGGGCACATGGCGAGCCGTGCAGCCCTGGCATTTCAGGCGATCGCAAACATGGATCAAGGGGCGTGGATTGGCGACGGGTGCCGTTTCCATGGGAAGTCGCGGATTTCCGCCGCCGAGCGAGGCGGCACTGGCCGCATTCTGGGGAGGGCACCTCCCCCGATCCATGGTTTTGGCGACCGCTCGCCAAATCCATGGATCGCTAATCCAGGTTTGCGCGCCTCGGCGGCGAGCGAGGGTGGGAAGTGATAAGGGGCGGGCCTTCTTAGAAGGCTCGGAAGTCGCCCGGCCTTCCTAGAAGTTTTCTGAGCCCTCCGCGACGACACAAGACATTTCTCAGAAGGGGCGAGGGCATCTGAGAAGCCCAGCCGCCTTTGAGAAGGCCTTCTCCTTCTTGCTTCCCCCCTCGCTCGCCGCCGAACGCTACATCTCGCCGCAGCCTTCCGAGCTACCCACAGAACAGCGTCCAGAGATCGGGAAACGAGTCCTTCGCCAGATTCCGGCGGGCGCCGAATTTGCACCTACACCGATCCTGGCCAGGCTGGTGACGGTGGGCTAGGAGGGGTTGGGGGAGCCTCGAAACGGGGGTCAACGCCACGCAGACGGGGATCGGCCAGAGCGCCGGATCTTGCAGGACCCTGCAGAGCCAGGGGTGCACTGGCCCGGGCTTGCGCGCAGGATCGCTCCTGCAGGATCCGCCAGGATCTTGCAGGGCCCTGCAGAGCCTGAACGGCCCGGGTTGGTATTTTGACCCCGGCCGGCAGGTCCCCGAGGGGGCCTGGCCAGCGCCGGCGCAGGCGCTCTGCTGGCGCCCTGTTGGCGCCCTCCGGCAGGTGCACGGGCAGGGCCAATCCAGGCACGCCGCCCGTGTCGCAGCGCAGGCAGCGATCGGCCAGCCGCGCCCCATGGGTCGCTCTGAGCCGGGGGTCTTGCGAGGAGCTGGCTGCCTCTCCTTGCCTTGCCACCTCCGTCTCCTTCGATGCGCCCTTCAGAATCTGCGTTTGACAGGGCAGTCTGTATCGAGTGACTGCTTGAGCCGGAGAAGTGAAGACGGCCTAATGCGTGAACGTTCGGAGGTCCGCGCGGCTTTCTCGGGCCTGCGCTGGGCCCCCCCCCCCCGGCGGCTCCTCCGGCGCAGCCCCTGGCCCACTCCGCGCGCCAAGGAGGGGTCCAGCGCCGCAAGAAGTCCGCGCGGAGCTCTTACAGTTTCAGGCTGTGCCGTTGTTCCTTCTTCTACTGAGGAGTGCCATCTTGGCACCTCACGTCGTGCACTGTAGCATGGATGTCTAGGACTTGCACACTTCGGGCGCACCGAGGCGCCTCCGCCGGGCGAACGCTGCGGGGCGGCGTTCGGGATCGAGGCTTCCTGACGCGAGAGTGCCCCTCTCGCAACCAGGTTCGCAGTCGGAAAGAGAACCAGGATCCAGCGTTGCCAAACCCAGACATGCGATTGCCTGACATTTTCAACGCGCGGTCCCCGAAAGTCCAGACCCCCTCCCCAGGCTCGGTTTTCCCTCCTGGGTCGGTTTCGTTACGGTCCCGGGGCTCGGTGAGGGCCCCGAGAGGCCCGAGATTATGAAAAAAATCGTCGTCCTCGTGTGGGGGCAGGCAGTCTTGGCCGAAGGTGTCCCCAGATCTCCGCCCCACCTGGGAAGCCCTGAGGCCCTCAAGGCGTTGTGAGGGGTGATGCTCTGGGGGCGGTCCACGCTACCTGGGAACAAGGGCGCCCTCGAGGGCGCGAAGTTATTGGCGCTTCGAGGTCGGCTCCGATTCCTCCTCATCCTCCTCTTCTCCCTTGGGGGGCGGCGCGGGAGCGCGAAGGTATCCGCGCATCACGAAGTTGGGCGCCCTTGCAGGAAATCCTGACCAGCTGCGACCCCGCCGCCAGCGTTCCACATTGGACGCCGCCGGCGACCCAGAATCGTTCGGTGTTGACCGATCTGACGTTTCGGAAACGGCCGATCGTTCAGGCTGGAACGAGGACCGCGGTGTCAGGAGCCAGTGCTGAAGTCCGCACGACGCGAACCCGCCGTGCGCAGGCCGCGGCAGCGTGGAGCGGGAGAGCCGACGGCAGACGCAGCACCGGGGGGGGGGGGCCCCGTCGTCTCCGCTCTGCAGGGCAGCGCCTCGACAGCCGAGTGCACGCCCGTCCCGAGGGCACTGCCTACCCAGTTCCCGTGCCCCGTGCCGCGCAGAGGCGGCGCTGCCGAGGTGGGTTCGGCCCCGGGGACGGGGGCTAGGGTTGGGCTTCGTCTTTTAGCACAGGCCACGAGGATAGTCGACTGGCCCCGGCCGGGCAGCTGGTGGTCGGCGGCGCCCCGCTGCTCTGCGACCTGACAAGGGCCGTCTCCAGGGTGCCACTTCGCGCCGCTCGGGGGCGGGCAAAGCGAGGCGTTCCAAGGCTCGGGGGCGGCAAGAAGGGGGGGGATGACTACGGGTGCGTGGATATCATGGCGAGGGCCATGACATCTCCCTAGAACTCATGCCGTCTCTTATTCTTGACGCTTCGCGCATCCCCACCAGCCCGCCCGGACCTTTCAACTCGGCGCCCGCGCTTTCTCTTGCGCCCGCGAGGAAAAAAAACATCCCCACCAGCCCATTCAGAAACAGCTTGCCAGGCGAATTGAAGCGTTGTTCTGAGAGGTTCTCGGGGGTCGGGGGTTTCTTGGAACCATCTTGGGGCTCTCTTGAGGGCCTCTTGGGACCCTCTTGGAGGAGCGCCCTGACTGCACGCAGGTCGGCTGCAGCGTGTCGACGCACACCGCGTCGAACCACCTGAGGATGCCCAACTCCGCCAGCTCGGCCTTGGTCACATTGAAGTCGCCGCCCACGACGTATGGCAGGCCGAACTCGCGCAGCCTGGACGCGAGGTCGCGCAGGGCCTCGTAGTTCCCCTTGTTCACCCCAACGCCCGACTCCAAGTAAACGTTGACGAGCACAATGCCACCCCGTACGATGCCGGAGTGGTGCATCATCAGGATCCGCCCCTCGCGCAGCACAGCGGGCCGCCCGCCCAGCATGGGCGCGAGACCGTGCTCGGCGCGTACCATGGAGACGAGGCCCCCGGTGGCCAAGCCGCCTGCCTGCGACGGCACCGCGGCAGCCGCCTGGGCCTTCCAGCCGCGCTTGCCCATGTCGCTCTCAGCGTCGGGCGACCTGGCCGCGCACAACCGCGTCTCCTGCAACAGCACCACGTCGCAGCAGATCACCTCGTCGATCATGCACTTGTCGACGTTGCTGAACATGTTCATGTTCAGCGTGCAGATCTTACAAGCCCTGGCAGGGCTAAACCCGCCGCCGCTTGGCCTCCACCGCGTCGCAGTGCTTGGACAGCAGCGAGCGCTGGAAATCCTCCACGAACTTCCTCTTCTCGGGGTCCTGGCCGCAGAAGTCGTTGTTGAACGACTTCCAGAACTCGGGCTCGCACTGCAGCAGAGAGTCGACCTCCATGCCGTCAGCGCCTTGCGCGCCGCCAGCAGCAGCGGCCTCAGCACCGGCGCCGCGGTCGCCTGCGGGAGCGCCCGCTCCAGGTGCCACCGCCGGTGGAGGAGCGGCCGCGGGCGGCTTCGCAGCCGCCGCGTCTGCGGCGATCTTGCCCAGGAGCTGCTGTAGCGGCGCCGCAGCCGTCCCGAGGTCCGCCCCGTGCAACTCCGAAGCAACAGAGTTCGCGAGCGTGACGTACTGCGCCAGGCCGCCGATCGGCGAGGGCGGCGGAGGCTTCGGCTCCTCGGCCTCCTCGGCCTCCTCGGCAGCAAGCGCCGCCTTGGCCTTGGCGACAGCCTCGTCCAACTCCAGGCGGAGCTTGCGCACGCGCTGCTGCTGCTCGTCAACCGCCAGCAGCGCCTGCTCGGCGGCCGCGCGGCGCTTGAACAGCAGGTCCGTAGCCTTGTCTAGCTGCACGGCCTTCTCGTCGGCGTGCACCTGGGCCGCCTTGACCACCTTGACCGTCGACAGCTGGCCAAGGGCGCTCTTCGCCAGGAAGCGTTGCTGGCGGAGCGCCTGCCGCTTGGACGGGTCCAACAACGCGGCGACGCTGTCGAGCATGCCGTCTTCCATGGCCAGGTAGTGCAACCGCTGCTCGTCGCCCAGCTTGGGCTTGGGCTGCGTCTGCCCGGCGGTGCCACCTCCGTCAGCACGGCCACGGGGAGGCTTGTCCTTGCCTGCCACGCCCGCGGCTCCTGGCCCCTTGGCCCACATTGCGCCAGGAGGAAGCACAGCACGGCCAGCAAGCTGCCGCGGCGCCTTCGGCTGGCGTCCCGCGGGGTTGCAGCCCACGCAGCTCGCCTGGCGGCAGCGAGCCCTGTTCCCGAAGTTGTAGTACCCGCGCGTGTCACAGTGCCACCCATCTCCACCAGCGCCGCCGCCGCCTTGCCCCACACTGCCACGGCCCATCGCGGAATGAAAGGGGGAGCGCGCCGATTGAAGACTGTGCACAGACTAGTGCAATGCTTTCTGCCTGGAAGCTGAACAGCCCCCCAGGGAAACATCTTGAGCCAAAATGGCTACGGAGGCCCGGCCAGATCCCGTTGAACATGCCCCCCAGGACTCTCTGGAGGCGCGCAATCTTGTCGGCGGGGTGCTCCCCGGTCTGATCCAGGTCGACGCTGCCCAAGTGCTCTCGATGCATGGCCCCCCCCCGTTTGGGCGCCACAGAGCTTGTCGAAGGCAAATCGAGCGCTGTGCGCCTGTCCGCGGTCCGCGGGCTGCACGCGGGCCTCTCGCTGGCAGCGCCTCCACGGCGGTAAAATGTCTCGCCTCTGGGGCTGGCGGGCACGGCGGCGTCCGCGGCTCGGGCGCTGGGGGAACCTGTTCCTTGAAGGCGCCAAGGGGGTCGCCGTGCGGGCTAGGGCTAGCTTCTGGAGCAGCCTCGCTTCTGTCCTCGCGGCTGCCCACCTGTGCTGGCGGTGGCCGGCTGTCACGTTGCCCCTCGTCCGCCTCTGCCTGCTCTTTCGGCGACGGTGCTGCGGATGCTGGTAGCTCTTCGTCGCAATCCACAGACTGGCCCCTTTGTGAGAGAACCGACGTTGTCTTTCGGGGGGGCGGGGGAGCCGGGCACTTCTTCGCCGCCGCCGGCCTCGTCGTCGGGCGCGCGGCCTTCTCGCCTGCCCTGCGGCAGTGCCGAGCCCGTCACCGAGCCTTCTGGGGTCAGGTCACCTTGACCAAGGAGCCTCGCGGGGCCACCCCGGCCCGCGTGGGTCCCGTGCGGCGATCTCGTGGTGACTCGCTGGCCTCTGGCTTGGCAGAGAGCCAGGTCCCCGCTCTCCCACCTGCAGCAGTCTCCAGAGCAGTCTCGCTGCTCGTGCTCGCGACTGGGTCCTGGAGCGCTAAATTGGCGATGATGGCTGTTGCAAAGACACTCGCGTCCAACCCCGTCCGGAAGCCAGCGAGCACGTCGCGCCCGTGCCAAAAATGGCTGGGGCCCCTGCCCCGCGCCAAGGAGGTGTAGTGCTTCTGCCAGGCCTTCTTGTGGAGTGGATTGCTGATGAAGTGCTTCACCACTTTGGCGGTTGCCCAGCGCTTGCCGCCCCAGTCAGCGCGTGGCGGCAGACCGTCTCTCGGGGATGTCACCGCCTTGGTCCTTCACGAACTCCTGCCAGAGAGGCTCGACGTCAGGGTGGAGTCGCGGAGGTGGGTGACGAGGGCGTGCTGCGCATCTCGTAGCTTGTTGGATCGACTGCGCTCCTGCGCGTCGTCAGCTGCCAGGCGTAAGTCCACGACTCTCCTTGAGCTGAGCAAGGGAACGCTGGGCGGCGAGAGTTCAGACAGGAGGGCAAGTAGGTCCGACGCTGTCCTGATTGGCGCGCCCCCGTCGTTGCCGCCCGCGGTCGCTCTTCCGGTGCCCTGTGGGCCCCGAGCTGCACGGTCCCTGGAGCACTCGTCCTTGGCGGTAGCGTTGGTGCGCCTGGAGGGCAGTTGGTCTGCGACGTCCAGGGCGCCTTGCTCCTTGATGCCCTGGTGCGGCCTCTTAGGTGGATCCTCTGGGTAGACATTTTCGGGGTCGAGGTCAAGGGTGCGGTCTAGGGCGCCTGGCGCGACATCCCGCATGTAGACGAGGCACCACCTGCGACGCCACGTGGCGCCCCATTTCCGCTCCTGCCAGGCGGACAGTCACTGGTTCCAGGGAGGGAGTCCAGAGCTGTCGTCGGCATCAGCGCCGGGCTCGGGTCGCCACAGGAAGCAGCCGCGGGCGGGGCACGTGACCCTCCGCGCGAGGAGAAGGGCGTCTGGGGGGCACGTGTCGCACCTCGCGGAGTGGGAGCGAATTTCGTGAGCGTCTCCCCCGAACCTTCCGTCATTGATCCTGTGTGCCGGCAGGGTCGAGTTCGCCAGGGTAGGGCAGTGCTGGTCCACAGTGACCATCAGGAGGTCCTTCAGAGGGACAGGGCCAGCAGCGCTCGGGCGGTCCCCGCGCCCGAGCC